GGGCCCCCTGTTGGTTCTCAGCTCCCATGCTGGATCCCTGCCGCCCCTGCAAATGGGCTGCCCCAAGCACGTGCTTGCTTTGCTGGTGCCTAGAGCCGCCCCTGTTAACAGCTTTAGTTTAATCATAGCAGCAGAATGAGCAACCATCAGCTCCATACACAAGTTTCTACAAGAGCCTGTTAAATACTCAAGCCACTGAGGATGGTAGGGAAAATGAGAAACTCCTCACTTCTAGCCAGCCACAGTACTTGTTCAAAAATAGCAATGAAAAAACAAAAGGAATTTATTACAGATAATTTTAGTTTAAATCATGAAGGAAAATAAAAACATTGCCTATGTGGAAAGCTGTATGCCAATACTACTACTAATGCTGGTTAGAGTTATTTCAGAGCCATTCAGTTATGTAAAATAACTGAACCAAATGAAGAGCATAGGATCGAAAGACTGTCTTCTGGCATGCCACTGGTTTCTCTGGAAGACCCTGTATAAAAGGTTATCTAGATTAAGACACCTCACAAATACAAAAAGCCAAGGATTTTGCAGACCTCTAACAATGGCCATGATAAAACTAAAAATGAACAAGATCAAGATCAGAAAAAATTGTGTAACAGTGTAGTCAGTTTTACGGTTTCCCTTGTAGATAACCAGTTTTTCACGTACATAGGTCTTTCACACAGCAGCTAAGTAAAGAAAGTGGAAAAAGTTCAGCTAATACCACAAACTGAGAGGGCAACTCAGGGCCACGTAAAGTACCCGAAAAGACTTAACGTAGTTTTGAAATTAACTAGATTTCAAAATAATAATCTTTTGTGATCAAGTTACCTTAGTTACATGTATGCATGGGACGCTGAAGGAAAAGTTGTATTGTTTGAGGAAATAGCATGTGATGACAACTTAAGTCTACTGTAAAATAAATACTTAATGCACCAATTTAAGATTGCATGTTCAATGTTAATTTAGCATTTCCTGTTTTTTGAAGGCAAAAACCTTTATTTTGTATTAGTATCGTTGTGACATATAATATAAGCTATTTAGATAATGTTTACATATAGTCAGTCACTGCCATCAATTTAAAGCAAAATTGTAATGGTAGCAGAATGCTTACCCTCCACTACAGAGAGAGAGCCACTATATTAGCCCTCCTTTGGATGTGGCCAAGAGGAACCTGCCATATAGAGTAACCAGAAATTCTTTTCCTTTTAACCACGAACACAAACTCCAACAATCCATACATTTCAAGCCCAGATGACAGATTTCAGAATTATGCAAGGGACATCTTGTTCTGAAGACACAAGAGATAAATTGCCCAATACCTCAGTGAGGACTGCAGCCGTCAAACCTCTCCCTTATTCCCTCCATCCCAAAAATACAGACGCTTTCTCTCCAAACCCTAGAACCAAGGGGTTAACCTTTCTTAAGATAGAGTTTCTACTTTACTTGGCACTGTATAAGCTTTTGGAATGTCAATAATAAAAGAAAATAAGAAAAGCAACTAACCCGAGTAAAATAAAAAAAGGAAGAAGGAAGAATGTAGGGTCATCATTAACCATCTAGCTCTCAAGTTACTTCCCCCATAGCTTGTGCAGCTGGCTGTTAGTTTCAATGACATAAGAGGTTGCTCTGTAGGGGATTAAAGAGGAGCCAACAGAAACAGAGCAGATGAGAAAGAAAATGAGAGGCCATCCCAGTTCCAGTTCTTGAAAAAGGAATTACAATTTTCTGTAAATCAGCTGTGTGAAATGGGCTTCCTAACCCTCACCTACCAGATTAATTTCCAGCACATAACAACAGGATACATAAGTAGTCATTTTCCCAGGGCACACAGAAACCAAAAGGATCATCAATAAAGTTCAGCTCATTTCTGAGCCAAGATCTTTCATGAGGTCTCTCCTAGCTACTTCAATCCAGACCCTGTTACCACAGTATCTGAGCATCTCACAATCCTTAATGTACTTATCCTTACAACATCTCTGTAAGGTAGGGGAGTACCATTATCCCCATTTTACAGTTGAAGAACTAAGGCACAGAGAGACAGAAGTGACCTGACACAGACTTCTTGTGTGACCTTGGGCAAAGCAGGGAATTCAGCCATGACTCCCAAATCTCAGACTAATGTACTAACCACTCGATCATCGTTCCTACATGAACATCATTCATCATTATTAACTGAAAGAATTGCTTGTGGGACTATGACCCAGTGAGTGTGAGATCACTAACTACAACATGTCTCCTCAGCATAATTTCTCTCCTGTGGCCAGTGAGACATCAGACACAGCAAGAAAGATTGCTCCATTAATAGAATAGAATATTTGTTTTGGCAGAGCAATTTACAAATTTCTTGTTTTCTTGTCATTTGAAAAGAAAAACTTCAGCTGAAGAAAAAAAAAAACTCTTAATGTTAGAACAAACTTTCCTCCATTTCACCCTCATGTTCTCACAACACACACAGTTACAAGATATAATTAGGATTTCCAGAGATCAGTTTAATAACTCAAAGGGAATCCTTTTAGAACACAGTTTTAGTCCCCAAATTTAAAATGCTTAAAAACTACCCGAGTGCACTGAACTCTGTATCTCAATTTCTTCTTGCTAGAAGCCCCTTTCTGCAAGACTCATCTATAAGCTGATCTTTTGCCATCCTTGATGAAGCTCATTAAGCTATGAGATGCAGGCTCATAAGAGCTTGATACAATCAGTTTCTCAGAAACTAAAGAACACACATTGTCATAGCTACTGCCATCTTCTGTTCAAGAACTCCTCCAGGTCATCTCCCCTCAGAACCAAGTTCTTAATTAGTTGTCATGAACCAAATAAAAACAAAATTTATCTTGATAATTGTAACCAGTATTGTCTGTTGCTTATTCAGGTCTGTTAACAAGGAAAAGAAACTAAAATAAAGTCTGTTAGGAAAAGCATAGATTCAATAATGTATATTTAAGGTAAGAAACAAACTTGTCTACTGAGTAGACTGCGATAAAGCCTAACTCTTAATATGACCCTTAACCTCCCTTGTTCTCCCATACAGGGGAAAGTTACATACCACTGGTGACCCTCAGCACTTTGATCCCCTTTCTGTAGGGCTGCCTCTGCCTCTTCTTTCCCTGCAGACAGAAAGCACTGATTTAGCAAGAATGAAAGTTACTGAATTTCTCTGAATACCTACCTCCCAAAGTGCTAGAGTCTCTACAGTGACAGGAAAGTGTAAAGAAGTTAAAAACATTTGTTAGTCACCTAGTATATTTAGCTTGAGACACATTCCAAAAGATCGCCTGTATGGAGAACTCACAGATGCTCCAAGGCCGCTGGGCTGACCTAAGATCAGGTTCAAGGACACTTTCAGCATCAACACTGTAAGCTGAGAGCTTGCAGCTAGCAACAGGCTGCACTGCACCAGGGAGTCAAAGAGGCTGAAAAGAGGTGGCTGAGAAAGAGAGAAAAGCAGAGAGCAAAAAAGAAAGAGCTACAGGCCTCAAGGGTGCGGTGCTTTGGTGCTTACACCATTGTCTATTGAGATGGACAGTTGCTCTTCCACTCACTACCAGCTGCATATCTTGCAGCGATATTGGGCACCTACCACCACACAGAGTGCACGCGCGCGCACACACACACACACTATTTAATGGAGCTCTCTCCTCTCTCTGCTCCATGTGCTTGTGATCCCAAAATGTGGAAACTTTGCAATCCATTAGAAAGGACTATATACACATTAAAAAAAACCTCTGAAAATGATTGCCTTAAAATGACTGCTTTACATTTCTGAAAGGGACTACTCAGGCAATTCAGCCTTAAAGCTTAGGTTAAATTAAAAAGGGGAGGTGATTTCCAAAAGCTGATAGGAGCAGAAGTGTTAATTAAAAAGTCTCCTGGTTTTATTTCAAGTCTTTTATAATGTTAAAACCCAAAACAAACTGCATTTGAACTAGTGAATGAGAAGTAGTGAAACTGATCAAGTAAACAAACAGGAAAATTGTATTTTTAAAATTTGTGTTAGTAACACAAGATCTAGTTAAAAAAGGTTTATCCAACAAAACACTACACTGAGCTGCCTCACAAACACACACTTTTCCTTACCATCAGAAGCATATGATTTCTTTTCGTCTGCATCCTCTGTGATTTCATACAGATCACTGTATGCTCGAGCCAGGCGCCAAAGGAAATCTTGCTGGTCTCCATACTGCAGACAGAACATAAGTATTTCAGATCACCTGTTAGCGAGCCCCTTTCTTCCACTGGTACAAAGATATAAGGAAGAGGACTGGAAGAGGACCATCAAGTGGCAGCAGTAACAGGCAGTATGTTATCTATTTTATATATCTATAGCTATATCTAGCTAGCTACATAGAGTAAACATATGTAAAAAAACCCTTTGAAAAAACTTAAACGGGCCCAAACCAACAAGAACTCTAGCAGAAGTACAAAAAGAGTAAAATGAAGGTCCAAATTTGCAACTAAACCCACAACTCAAAGAAGATCAGAAGAGGTCTAACTCATCACATCACCATAAATGGATTCCCCATTTCACAGAAGTTTTAGTATGGATGAGGGGATGAGCGTTGGAGCCACACATCCACTTGTCTGACTCCATCTCAAAAAGCAGGAGAAAAATCACAAGTTTTAAAAAGTTCAGTTTATTTATCTATGCTGTCTGTTCATTTTAGGCATTTGCTTACACAAAACAGCAATGAGTCTGTTGTGGCTGGATTGCCAATACTGCAGTGGCAATGTTCAGTCAAACACAAACCAATGCATTTTCAGTGAAATATAAAAAACAATTCTTTATACTAGGTTTTGTTAAACTATTTTTTTTAAAGTACAAGTTTTAAACCTAAACTACTTGACAATATCAATTTAAGTTGGTTTATTTTGGTACTATCTTAGACTATTAAGAAGTAGGAGAAACATTTAAGAAAAGGGATACACTGGAGTATTAAATAAATTCCTGGCATGATCCCTTTTGGGGCTTCCAAAGAAACTTTACTTATGCTTACTGTTGATTAAGTCATTTGTTATCTCTCGTCTCTACATCATCTTTGATATTAATGTTGAAGATAAGCAAAACAATTTGGCTGCTGTATTAAACAGGCACCTATGTAAAAAAAGCTATATAATTTCTTGTACTGACTATACAGTGCTTGAACTCTATAACGGAGTCAAGGGACCCAACTACAATACTGTTTAGATTTGTACTACAGACAGGATGCAAGAGGGTACATTTAAGAAAGCCAAGTCCTTGGATTGTCAGGGTTTTAGTTTTGTTAGGTACCATCTACACTACACTTCTAAGCCATGTTATGACCAGGTCCATTGACTCCATTATGTTTGTAGCATGGACCAGGTCTCGCACAATGATAACTAAAAGCCCAATTTCATCTTTCCCTGTTAGCTGAACACACAATTTTGCTGGGAAATTAAAATGAACTTTACCACCAGTTTATTGTTAAGCAGCAGCTGGAATCCTTCCCTCTTCTCCTGGTTATTCCCGCTATGCAGCTGGTCAGCCTGCTGCAGCAGCTGACCAAATTCCTCCTCCGTTGTAGAGTCAAAGACCAAAACAGTTTCATCCTCATTGACTAGGTCCAGTGAATCCCTCCGTGCAGTCTTCACTGTCTCACAGCTCACTTCATCTTCCCCTTCCTCACTCTCTCTCTCTGACTCCCGGTCATAGTCAGACTCTGCATTGGCTGTGGTGTACCTTTCAGTAAAAATTAAAATATAGAATTAAGTGACATCACATGTACTCAAAACAAGATGCAGGGCAAACAGTTTACAAACCAAGAGAAAATATTTAAAAAAAAATCAGAGAGATGGGAGTTGGACTAATAGATGTCCTAGGCCCAACCTTCTCTAGTGCAGAAGTGTTTTCTCTACACTGTATTCTCCAGAATTTTGTGCAGTCTAGTTTTAAATCTCTGCAGTTATGCATCTTTCAACTATTCCCATGTAGTACAGACAAATACAAAAGGGTGAAGAAAATAAATTCTAAAGGAAGGTAGCGTAGAAGTCAAGACACAGGAGTCTGCATCCAGCTGGCCTCGTGAGAGAGCCTTTTTAGACCATTTAGCTTTAAAGCCTACAAAAGCATACACAGAACAGAACAAGCAGGACAATCACTTGGGAAATTACAGATTATACATCAGATACCTCAGTAGGAAGTTTAACAGACTCATCTAGGTGGGGGATACAGCTAGAGGTTTTTGGTCTGTTCTAGAGAATTTCAAACACAGATCGCTTTCTTGGCAAGATTAGTATTTTGATCAAGACTGTCTGAGCACTAAATACAAAACAGCTTGTTCGAGCTGACGGGGAGAAAAGGTGTGAAAACAGTGGGTGAGTGATCAAAATCATTGTACATGTATAAAAAGAAATTAAGGAGTAGCAGCTGAACCATGTAAAGACATGATATCTATGTAAAAGCAGACAATGATTAACAATAAAGTCGTCCAGATTAGACAGGGTACGACTCAGACCAAGATTTTCCATAAGGGATTGTCTAAAGTTAAATTCACAAATTTATGTTCAGGCACCTAAATAGGTGGCCTGATTTAAAAAAAGCTTAGCCTAACGTGCCCCTTCTCTAACTCACATGGGAGCTCTGAACAAAGGAGGAAGCACTAAGTTAGACCTCATTGTTTAAGAATGTTCGGTTTTAATTTCAGGCTTCGTTGGACTAATGAGGGAAGCAAGTTCCAAAGGAGAGGGCCCTCTGCTGCAAGCAGCCTGCCATGAGCCCCCATGACATTTAACTACAGACCCTGACTGCAATTGTTCAAGCAATGAAAAGGAAGACTAACCAGATGTAACCAAGACCCAAACCATGTGTAACTTTAAAAGCTCAATGCTTGAATTGCACCAGAAGCAAGTAGGAAACCATTGCAGCCTATGGAACACTAGCGTAATGTGCTCCCTATGGTTAAGGCTGCGAGTCTGTCATGGAGGTCGAGATGGGCAGCCACTGGGCCAGCAGCAGCAGTTTGGGTGTGTGGGAGGGGACTCAGGATTAGGGTCAGAGGGACCCGGGGGGCGGGAGGGCACTTACCTCAGGAGGGGGGGGGGGGTCCGTGGCTCCCACTGGCATGGCCCTACAGCTCCTAGGCAGAGGGGCCAGGGGACTCCCGCACACTGCCCAGATCCACGGGCCCTGCCCTCGCAGCTCCCATTGGCTGCAGTTCCTAGCCTAGGAGCTGCAGGGACATGCAGAACTGGATAGGGAGCCCCTGCCAGCCCCACCAACACCCCCCCACCCCAACACCAGTGGGGGTCCTGGATCACCTCCCCCAGCACCTATGGTGCCCTCGGACCCCCTGTCCCCTGTTCTCCCTCTCCCCCGAGCATCCGCAGGCCCCTGCCCAAGTTTTAGTTAGGGGTATATAGTAAAAGTCATGGACAGGCCACAGGCTGTGAATTTTTGTTTACTGCCAGTGACCTGTCCATGACTTTTACTAAAAATACCCATGACTAAAACGTAGCTTTACCTACCGTCAGCTATGTTAAGCAATCAGATCATCACATTTTTCACCAGCTGAAGTGTCCAAGTGTTCTCCAAGGACAGCCTCAAAACAGGGAATGTTAGAGTTATCAAATCTAGAGATTGAAGGCATGTACCAAGGTACACATCTAACAGAAACGTGGATAGCAGTTGTGCCAAATACAGATGAAAAGAGGTACTCCTGACTACCAAAGTACTGTTTTTCCAGGAGTCATGAGGAGTACAGTTGGATCCCTGAACTCACTCTCTCCTTGGTAGAGAACCAAGGAATACTGTCAACTCAGAGGGCAGACACCACACCAGCCCCATCACTCTCTCTAGATCATCATGAACTGTACACTACCAGGTAATCAAACCAAATCTCAGGCTAAGCAGTGTTGTCTGGTCATTACGTGGATGAGAAGCCTCTAAAAACACCTAGTCATTATGTTGCAGATTCAGTAGATATTCTTCCCTCTGAATCCATAGTGAAGCTATGAATCAGCATGGTGCAGGACATGCTGTACTAGAGGTGTTGCCATATTTTGTGCAAGTTGTAAAACCTAAGGTACTGACCACTTGTTATTAAACATCTTGTGGCACTTTCATAAGAATAAGGATACAAACTTTGGTTCCCTAGTCAAATCCTGTTAAAATGTAACTGCTCAGACTCCCTTAATTCATGCAGCAGTCCCTGTCCTACACTGCTGTGCAGCGTTGGTGTGGGCAGATAAACAGCTGCCATGCCACATTCCAGACTGGCAGCATTTTAAAGGTACTCAATGATTTGTGTATCTAGGTTGAAAAAGACTTTTTATCCTGAAGCACAATCAAAGTACAAGGTCTAAAAATCATTTCAAAATGCTGTGTCTATTTTTGTTCTTGTTTTTATAAAAAGATAATTACCATTCCGTGATGGCTCATGATGTATATACATTTTCCTCTCACCCAGATAGACTCGCTCTATTGAGATGGCTCATGTATGAGATGCTGCCAGTTTAAAAAAGAAATAGCGCTGAATGTAATTCAATAAAAACAAAAGTATTCAAAAAGACCAAGGGATTTAAGTGTTTTTATCCTGTTTTAGGATAGAAGACAGACAGTTCTTAAATGCATTAATATGTGAAAGTCCCTAGCTAGCATATTTCCTACATTAATAACAAGATATTCGGTGCTAATAAGCATGCGAAAAAAGAAAAAGGCCCCAGTGGACTTGTCTGCTCTGCACAGTGCCAAAGCAATGCAAGACAATTAACTTCCACATCACAATCCAAGCCTTCTTGCTGCTAATAGCATGGAACAATTTGTGTCATCTGGAAGTGAAACATGAGGAGCTACTGATGCCTGTTTGGATTATAAGTAGCAGCAGCAGAAGTTTTATAAGATTTCATCAAAAGGCAAAAGAAAGCAACTGCCAAAAAAAAAAAAAAAAAAAAAAAATTATTGCAGGAATTTGAGGACAATGGGTGCTAATGCAGAAAGTTACAAGTCAGTTCCAGAGTGGCTACCATACACAGCTATATAGGATTAATACTGGAGGCATAAGTAACATGGAATCTTCAGTTTAGTACAACAAACTTGTTTTATATTAGGCCAGGATTGCTTATCCATTAATTCATCACAGTGACTCTTAAAGCTGTCTGCAAAGTTTTAAATTACTGACCTGCTACTGGTCTGAACTGTTTATAAATATATTTTAAACAAACTAAGGAATTGCAAAGAAGCAATGAAACACAGAAGCTGACTTCCAAATCCTTATAACTGGTTCACAGGGAGGGAGTGCAAATGAGAATATAGAGAATGCCCCAATTTCTTATCCTCCCACACAAACTCCCTACTCTCTTTCCAGCCCCACCCCTCTCCCATTGGCATATCTGCTACAGTCTGCCTTGCAGGAGCAGTGCTCCCTTCCCACAGATGTCAGAAGGGACACAGCAAGTGGGAACTGGATGACAGCTGGCAGTGTGAAGATACACTATTGCCAATGCCAAGAGTCATGCCCCCCAAAATCATGAGACTAGCTTAACAGTCAAATTTAAATTAAAATATATATCTGCTTTGAGCTTCACATTTTCAAACTTCTCTCTGCAACCATGAGGGCTAGAAACTTAGGTGGAGAGGTTAAACAAAAGCTGTGATTATCATAACATGATTTCAGGAGCTGGGGAATTAAGAAAAACACCTACTAACCACAAGACTCACAATAAAATCACAAGTGTTAGCAATACTGGAGATCAGAGGGGCCTCTCCCCACTTGGTGGCTCTCTTAAGGTCTGCTGTAGAGGAGAATCACGGCTAAGTCTTTGAGACTTGCGGGCCTCTCAAGCTTTTCGGCTGAAAAAATCATCTTTACTCTCTAATAATCAAGAGACATTTTGAACTCTATTGGAGAAAAAGCTTGAGATTTCTCAGCATCCCTTTGATATCTTATATCAAGCGGGCTAAAACATACATTTCACAACAACATTAAAGTCAAATAGCTTTACATTTGTAATCAAATGGGTGCTAATTTTCAGCTAGGGGATCCAGTACACTAAATTTTATTTATTACCGGTTCTAAAAAGGCAAAAAGTCTCAACTTTCTGAACTCTCCTGAACACCCATTTTTAAGGTGTCACATTAAAGTCATTCCCTGACTCACATCTAAACTATAGATTTTGGATTTTAAAAAGGAAGTGGGAAGACAGGAGAGACAAAACAAGTTTATAATGGAAAGCTAGTTGCAACCTTCACTATGGAACTTTAATACAAACGAGGAAAAAGCTTGGAGATAATTGAGAAAGTAGGTTAGCCAAGTTAAAAGGTTTTAACTTGCTATGGTGATTCTCAAGTTTAAAAGTCTTATCCTGACACTTATCCTTTCGCTAGTCTTCCTCTGTTAGATATGTTCTACAAAGATTTTACCCAGCTGCAAGAATCTGTTATTAGATCAGTACTACAGTCAATCACCAAGAAGGTTCAACTGAATACTTATTAGTAATTTAAAAGCCACCATGAAAGACAGCCAGGAGTAAGCCCAACAGCCCTGCAACAAGTCTGTACTGCCCTATCTCATGGTCACAGAATACTACTGGCTGAGGCAGCCCAATGACATCAAGCTGTTTCCTCTATCAGAGGATCTCTTTTCTGCAACCTGTGAATATTAGGAGCTCTACCTTTTAATCCATTGCAATTATCTTTATTAGTTAATGCCTCTTTAACAGCACTAGACCAACATCTCAAAAAAT